TAAGGTTTTGGGTTTAGGGCTTAAGGTTTGGGGTTTAGGGTTTAGGGTTTAGGGTTTAGGGTGTAGGGTTTAGGGGTTTAGGGGTTTAGGGTTTAGGGTTTTAGCGTAGTATCGTTGGAATAAGCAGCCCCGAGGAAGAATGGCCTTAAACCCTAAACCCTCAACTGTAAGGGCTTAGGGTTCCCTTTAGAGTAAGCAAACCCTGAACCCTACACATGAAACCCTAAACACTAAACCCTAAACCCTAAACACTAAACCCTAATCCCTAAGCATTAAACCCTAAACCCAAAGCCCGAAGCATTAGACCCTAAACCCTAAACATTAAGCCCTAAGCCCTTAACCTTAAATATTGAACCCTAAACCCTAAACATTAAACCCTAAACCCTAAAGCCTAAACATTAAACCCTAAACATTAAGCATTAAACCCTAAACCCTAAAGCCTAAACATTAAACCCTAAACAATAAACCCTAAACCCTAAACATTAAACCCTAAACCCGAAGCATTAAACCGTCAACCCTAAACATTAAACCCTAAAGCCTAAACATTAAACCCTAAACCCTGAACATTCAACCCTAAACCCTAAACATTATAAACCCCAAACCCTACATTAAACCCAACACCCTAAACATGAAACCCTAAAGCCTAAACATTAAACCCTAAACCCTAAACATTAAACCCTAAACCCTAAACCCCAAACATTAAACCCTAAACCCTAAACAATAAACCCATTAAACCTTAAACCCTAAACATTAAACCCTAAAGCAGGCCTGGCTGAAGCTCAAGGGGTCGACGACGGAGCCCCCGATGATGGGCATGGCTCGGACCTCAGACCTCAGCCATGGCTATTACTTGGTTGAACTTTACAGTCACTTTATAGCTTTATCACTTTTAGGATGAGCCTTTTTTGAGATTAGGGGTACGAAAAGTTATAATTTTAGCTAGGTAATAAAGAGCAACCCAGCAGGGTTCCTTCAAGGGATTTAGGGTTTCGGGGTTCTGTAATGGGGTTTAGGGTTTAGGGTTCCTCTAAGGGATTTAGGGTTTAGGGTTTAGGGGTTCTGCAACAGGGTTCCTTTTAAGGGTTCCTTTAAGGGATTTAGGGTTTACTATAGAGGCCTAAATAAGTACCTATACACCATTATAACGGGCCCCAAAACCCTATTCTAATTATTAAGGCCCCTACATCAGGATTTAGGGGTTCTGTAGTGGGGTTCTCTTTAAGGGTTCCTTTCAGGGTTTAGGGTTTACCTTAAAGGGTTTAGGGCTTAGGGTCTTCTTGGGGGATGGTGAGGAGTTGGCATCTTAGAGGGTTTCTTCAAGGGGTCGACAAGGCATCTATGGGGGGTTCAACGGTGTTGGGTTTAGGGTTTTAAGGTTTGGGGTTTAAGGTTTAGGGTGTTCGGTTTTCTGGAAGGGTTCTAGGGCTCTGGGGTTTAAGGGACCTCAGAATTTGATGCTGCTGGGAGGATCATGGCGCCTAGTAACTAAGGTTGCAAACAAGGCAACCATACTTAAAGTTACTTTTAGCCCCAATTGAGGTACTTATGGCTTTACCTACTACTGTTGATGATATAAGTCCTGCATTACCTTAAGGGAATTACCTTAAGAACCCCAAACCTACTTTTTTGTAGGGTCCCTATAAATCCCATATTAGGGTTTATAATAAGAACCTACAAAAAAGTGGGTTTTGGGCTCTCAAGGTATGGTTTATATCAACAACCGGCAAGTCCCACGAACCCGCAGGTACGGGGCTTCCTTCCAGGGCTCCTCTAAGGGTTACCAGCGGGTTCTATATCAAAGGGCTGTAGGAGGGACCCTTAATAGGGACCCTTGTAGGTTATTGGAGGTTATATGGAAACTACCTGGCTATATAAGGGGTATATAAGGACTGTACAATGGTTACTTAAGGTAATGGGATTAAGGGTCCCTATTAGGGGTCCGTCCTAAAGTCCTTCGACTATAAGGGTTTGGGGGTGTAGTACAGTTGATGCTATAAGCTGGGATTAAACCGAAGACAGCTGCAACATACGGTTGATGATATCGATCCTGCGTTACCAATAATAAGGAATATACCATGACTCCCATAGTTTAGGGTCCTTAAGGTAATGCAAGATTTATACCATCAACAGCAGTACAGACGCCTGAACAAGTAGTAACTCCTATTCTTTAGTGTTCCCGATCATAGTTTTGAGTATTCTTCAATACCCCCAATCCGGTGCTAATTTTATGGTAGTTCTCTGAATTAGCGTCCCTTTTTCAGGGCTCCTTAAACGGATCTATAAGGGCTTCTTGAAAGAGTGCATGTTGTGCGGAGATTCATGTGCTGTTGAATTGAGCCTCAGATTGCATGTCCACGGCCATGTATCAACAGGAAAAGTGGTAGTAGGGTCGTTAATAATCGAGCACATCCTCAACCCAAAGACCGAACCCCGAAACCCTGAGCAGATCCCAGCAAAATCCCTAATCTTCATTTAGGGTTTAAGGTTTAGGGTTCTCAACCAACTCCCAAACTCCAAGCCCACACCGTGAAATTTAAAACCGATCCGCCTTGAGGCTAACATGGAACAGCGACGTTACCCTAGTAGAGTGCTGCCTCATTCCCGCAGCCCAAGCCCTGAACCCTGAACCCTAAATCCTGTATATGACCATCTCTTTCGAAGGGCTACCCAACGGACTCCAAGAAATAGCATGCCATGCCGTGCATAAGTACAGGCAGTGTAGTGCAGTACTCAGTGTAGATGCAAGCAGCGGCAGGATTGTGAATTCTGAAATATTCATGATTGCCTAGGACGTTCTGACGATGAAGATGCGTCAACGGAGCTGGAAGGAAGCCTGTGAGCAAGGTGAGCAATACTTCGCGACGGTCTCCACGGACAGCTCACCTCAGGGAGGATTGGACTGCATTTTGTCGTTGGAGGATCGCATCAGCAGACGTGCAGCCGGCGAGCTCATGCTGGCTGAGGATGCCAAGGGCGTCGAAGCTTGGAGTCGAAGCCATTCCATTGAGGTTACAACGTTGCCTCTGGGCTTGGTAGCATCAGGGAATGCCAGTGTTGCTTCGAAGTACGAAGCGCTGTTTCACTCTGTGAAACTGGACACTGGTGTCAACCTTCCGTTGCTGCAACAATACTCCATGTCTTCCTGCCTGAGTTTTTGTTCTGATTTCGGAACAGAAGCCCAGTTCACCGAGGCTGTTGTTTGAAAGATTGAATAAGATATCAGATGCTCTTAAATCCGGCGTCCTTGCGAAGCCAGAACAATGAACCACAACCGCTCTACTCCTAAGATGCCTTTAAGACCTTAAGACCTTAAGATGCCTAGGGCCTAAACCCTCCCCCCAAAGGTGCCGCCTGTCAACATCAGAATAGGGTTCCCTTTAAGGGTTACTATAGGTTTCCTAAGTCTAACTATACTATACAATATACCCCGCAACCCTATTCTACCTATTGAGGCCCTGTACCCAACCTCCATAAGACCAATAACTTTTTTGGGGAGCCCTTTAAAGGAACCCTACTCTACGCGTTGAGTCCTGTAGTATCACCACGGAGAGCTAAGCCCTCAACCCTTACAGTGCCCCTGTATAGAAACCCTCAAAGGCACCTTCACAAAGGAACCCTATCTTAATAGTAAGACCCCATACTTAACAACCGGTCCCCTGTGTGGTAACCTTAAAGGCACCCTTGCAAAGGAACCCTATTCTAATCGTAAGGCCCTGTACTTACTTGGAGGATCATGGGACTTAGTAATGTGGGCCGTAAGAAATTGAGAGTAGAGCTACCGTGCTTAAAACCCTAGTTACTAAGTCCCATGAACCTTCAAGCAGATCCACCCTTAAAGGGAACCCCATTATAGAACCCTACTAAACCACCCTATAGCACCCTAAACCCTGAACCCTTAAACCCTAAACCCTAAACCCTAAACCCTACCCATTATAGAACCCTATGGCAAGTAGCCGGCCTCTACCTCCGCTTTTCCAGGCCCAGATACGGAGCATTACCAAGCAGTGCAGCTGGGCCGGAGGAGGGTTTGGGGTTTAGGGTTTAGGGTTTAGGGTTGTGGGTTTTGGGTTTTGGGTTTAGGGTTTTGGGTTGAGGGTTTTGGGTTTTGGGTTTGGGGTTTTAGGTTTAGGGTTTTGGGTTTTGGGTTTGGGGT